ATAAAATGTGGCAAAAGTTAAGCGCTGTGAATACTTTCTGGATGCACTGTAGCAGCTGATAGTGGTGAAGATTATATCACCTCAGTGAGAAGAAAATCTTTGCATTCTCTGCCTCTATTAAATACAAAACTCAGGCTATTGCTCAGGAGTCTACTCTGTGGGATGTTTATACTGCAATGTATGGTTTTTCTTGGAGGACTTTCCAATCAGGTCATCAGCATAAGGGAAGATATCTGACTTATACACAATTCATTACAAAAACCTAGGGACAACATTTCAGCTTTGGAGGGCCATGTGAGTGAGCTAGAGGATTCAGTGGCCCCATTATACTCAAATGTAAAGGCTTTCCAGTAAGCACATGCACAAGCCCTTAAAATGGAGGACCTGGAAAACAGAAAAAGTCATGACCTTAGGGTGGTGTGTTTCCTGGAGTGCATAGAAGGCACAGATACTTTCCTTCAGAGATTTTGGAGAAATGGCTATCCATCACACTAGACAAAGAAAATATGTCCTAATTTTTTGCTGTAGAATGAGTGCATATATCGAACTACAGAAATAAAGACCTCATGCTTTGCAGCACCTGTTCACTTCGGGAACCTAAATTCAATTTCAGTAAGGTCGTGTTGTTTTCAGACTTCTCCCTCAAGGTGCAGAAGCAAAGGTCAGAATTCAAGACATAAAAAAGCTCTTGAAAAGGTATAACTACCAGTACCTGATTAGAAGTCCACTAATTTACAAGAGAAACTGTTAGGCATGGTAGCACTCCAACCTCTTTCCTAAACAAAGAATGTTGTGTTCTCTGTTATTATTTCTTAACACTCGTATTTGTTTTTGTTTGATATCTGCTTTGCTTACAGGCTTTTATATCCACACTCTCATATACCCTTTGGCTTCCTTCGCCAAGAAGTTGTTGCTTCTCCTTAATCCTGGATGGCTGATTGTAATCAGGAGACTCTCCCAGGATTTTCTACTCATATATTTCACCTGTGATCTAACCTTGTGGCTACTGTATAAGAAATAATTTTAAATGATTTCTTATGGCTACCAGCATGATGCATGCGATGCCCTTGTATGTTAGGGTCTACGTGATCCTGTAAAAGACATGCCGTATTTGATTATGTAATATCTTCTTGGCTTTCTATTATTAACAAGCAAAAAAACATGAAAAAACCCAGGTAACTCACAAAACCTGTAAATGTTTGAAGAAACATTTCTCCTAAGTTCACATACACTCATGTTACTCTGTATATTCTTGAAGAGTGAACAAACTGGTTCCTAAATGTTTGGCCCAATTTCTTACTGATAAATTGCTATTCTCAGTATTGACGTTTGGAGACGTCAATAATTGTATACTGTAGATGTTCGAATAGATAGATTCCCAACTACCTCTCTCACTAGTACCCGTACTCAATCTCAATTTGCCAAATGTTGCATAAAAATGGGGCTACATGATTTGTATCATATGACACATCACTGTAAATATCAGTTCACATGCCAAACTCCACATTGCCACACTGCAAAACTCATAATACCCTTACTTATATAGACTCGGCCCTTGGAACTGAAGATATTCTATTCCTTATATCCCTAATATCCTTATACCTTATTGTTGAACTACTCCCTAGGGAGATATCACACCATTCCCCACTCCAAGTGACCCTACAAATGACCTGGGGACCATCAAAGCAATTTTTGTATCTATATCCATTTTATATTCCTCTAATAAGGAAAATCTCAATCTTGATCGGAAAATTTAGTGGTTTTTCAGAACCAATGATTTTTCAGACTCCATAAGAGTGATTTGGCATGGCCTATTTGTGGTGTCTATTTATGAAACATATCAGTGAAGTAGAGACAAATATCAGGAATCCTGAGGAAGAGATACGACTTTGAGTGAGACAAGCAGAGGCAGCTTATGTTTCTGCTCCATCTCCTTCAACTCAAACAGAATGACCACAGGCACATCTGAACAATGTATCTACTCAAAAAGCCCAACATAACAACTTTCCAAAGCTAAGTTTCTAGGACAGAGGGAGAACAGGCAGGTAGGCTGCTAGTACATATAACTAGAGATGAGCGAATCGAACATGGCGAAGTGGAATTCGTTTCGAATATTGGGAATTTTCCCAAAAATGGCGGCGACATGTGTGGCGACGGAGCGGGGATCTCTGGGAAGGCGCGCAGACAAGGCGCGCTGACCCATAATGCATTCATTCATGACATGTGATCGCATTAGCCAATCAGCAGCCAGCCAGCACTGTGTAATGGTGGAGCTATAAATTGTGGCCATCTTACAATTCTCCATTAGCCTCCGGTCATTCAAGAGAGACAGACCTGTCTGTATTAGGGACAGAGTTAGGGCCAGAGAGACTTTAGGGCCACAGAATCGTTACTTAGGGACACAGAATCGTTACGCAGGGACACAGAATCGTTACGCAGGGACACAGAATTGTTACGCAGGGACACAGAATTGTTACTCAGGGACAGACACAGAATTGTTACTGAGGGACACAGAATTGTTACTCAGGGACACAGAATTGTTACTCAGGGACAGACACAGAATTGTTACTGAGGGACACAGAATTGTTACTCAGGGACACAGAATTGCTACTCAGGGACACAGAATTGTTACTCAGGGACAGACACAGAATTGTTACTGAGGGACACAGAATTGTTACTGAGGGACACAGAATTGTTACTCAGGGACACAGAATTGTAACTCAGGGACACAGAATTGTTACTCAGGGACACAGAATTGTTACTGAGGGACACAGAATTGTTACTCAGGGACACAGAATTGTTACTCAGGGACAGACACAGAATTGTTACTCAGGGACACAGAATTGTTACTCAGGGACAGACACAGAATTGTTACTGAGGGACACAGAATTGTTACTGAGGGACACAGAATTGTTACTGAGGGATACAGAATTGTTACTCAGGGACACAGAATTGTTACTCAGGGTCACAGAATTGTTACTCAGGGACAGACACAGAATTGTTACTGAGGGACACAGAATTGTGTTACTGAGCGACACAGAATTGTTACTCAGGGACACAGAATTGTTACTCAGGGACACATAATTGTTACTGAGGGACACAGAATTGTTACTCAGGGACACAGAATTGTTACTCAGGGACAGACACAGAATTGTTACTCAGGGACACAGAATTGTTACTCAGGGACACAGAATTGTTACTGAGGGACACAGAATTGTTACTCAGGGACAGACACAGAATTGTTACTCAGGGACACAGAATTGTTACTCAGGGACACAGAATTGTTACTGAGGGAATTGTTACTGAGGGACACAGAATTGTTACTCAGGGACACAGAATTGTTACTCAGGGGGACACAGAATTGTTACTCAGGGACACAGAATTGTTACTCAGGGACACAGAATTGTTACTCAGGGACAGACACAGAATTGTTACTCAGGGACACAGAATTGTTACTCAGGGACACAGAATTGTTACTGAGGGACACAGAATTGTTACTCAGGGACACAGAATTGTTACTCAGGGACAGACACAGAATTGTTACTCAGGGACACAGAATTGTTACTCAGGGACACAGAATTGTTACTCAGGGACAGACACAGAATTGTTACTCAGGGACACAGAATTGTTACTCAGGGACACAGAATTGTTACTCAGGGACAAGAATTGTTACTCAGGGACACAGAATTGTTACTGAGGGACACAGAATTGTTACTCAGGGACAGACACAGAATTGTTACTCAGGGACACAGAATTGTTACTCAGGGACACAGAATTGTTGCTGAGGGACACAGAATTGTTACTCAGGGACACAGAATTGTTACTCAGGGACACATAATTGTTACTCAGGGACAGACACAGAAGAATTGTTACTAAGGGACACAGAATTGTTACTCAGGGACACAGAATTGTTACTCAGGGACACAGAATTGTTACTGAGGGACACAGAATTGTTACTCAGGGACAGACACAGAATTGTTACTCAGGGACACAGGGACACAGAATTGTTACTCAGGGACACAGAATTGTTACTCAGGGACAGACACAGAATTGTTACTCAGGGACACAGAATTGTTACTCAGGGACGGACACAGAATTGTTACTGAGGGACACAGAATCGTTACTGAGGGACACAGAATTGTTACTCAGGGACACAGAATTGTTACTCAGGGACACAGAATCGTTACTCAGGGACACAGAATTGTTACTGAGGGACACAGAATCGTTACTGAGGGACACAGAATTGTTACTCAGGGACACAGAATTGTTACTCAGGGACACAGAATTACAGAATCGTTGAATTAAAGAGTATGTCAGACAACACGCAGAGGAGTGGCAGAGGAGGCAATGTTTCAGGAGCGAGCAGACGTGGCAGCAGAGGAAGGGGTCGAGGCAGCACTAGTCGCAGCCAAGGCCAGTGCTCCCGGTGTCATCCAGCGGTCGTGTCTCCACCGACAACCCTGCCGTCATCGATTGGTTGGCTCGGTCGTCTTCCTCTTCCCAGGTCACCTCTGACATACAGCCAACGGTCGGTGGGTACGTCAGACACAACCGTTAGTTGGCATGGCCCGGGAGCAAGCCCACTGAAATCACGTGTCCTCTACCTGCCCCTGTCCTTTGGTGTTCCCTCACCAAGCGAAGTATCGCATGCTGTGGGCTCAGCCCCACTGTACAGTGAGGAAGAGCTAACTCAGGGAGGGCGGTCAGGAACGGGGGGAGACATCCGCCTCTTCAGCAGCCAGGCGAAGAAGTACTGGCGAGGAGAGTGGCTCGGTAGCCGGTCTAGAGACAGGTCTGTCTCCTGACCCACACGCAGCCGAGTGACTCAGGGACCCTAGAAGTGAGGGCGGAGACCCTAATTGATGATGCATCAGGAGGCTGATCGCACTTGGGCAGCTTCGTCGTCATCTGCCAGGCCCAAAATCTGCCATGGGCCCCCGTACCGACTCCTCATGCTGCTGCCAGGCCCGTAATCTGTCATGGGCCCCTGTACCGCCTCCTCATGCTGCTGCCAGGTCCAGAGTGTCTCATGGGTCCCTGTACGGCCTCCCATTGCTGCTGTCTCCATCGCCACACCACTGCCATGTGCCACTGTTCACTTTCAGGTCTCCTCACACTGCTGGTGGGTTCCATTTTGTCATAGGGTGCTGGCAGATTACGGGCCTCCCATTGCTGCTGCCAGGCCCGTAATCTGTCATGGGCCCCTGTACCGCCTCCTCATGCTGCTGCCAGGTCCAGAGTGTGTCATGGGTCCCTGTACCGCCTCCTCATGCTGCTGCCAGGTCCAGAGTGTGTCATGGGTCCCTGTACGGCCTCCCATTGCTGCTGTCTCCATCGCCACACTCTGCCATGTGCCACTTTCAGGTCTCCTCACACTGCTGGTGGGTTCCATTTTTGTCATAGGGTGCTGGCAGATTACGGGCCTCCCATTGCTGCTGCCAGGCCGTAATCTGTCATGGGCCCCTGTAATGCTGCTGCCAGGCCCAGAGTGTGTCATGGGTCCCTGTACCGCCTCCTCATGCTGCTGCCAGGTCCAGAGTGTCTCATGGGTCCCTGTACGGCCTCCCATTGCTGCTGTCTCCATCGCCACACACTCTGCCATGTGCCACTTTCAGGTCTCCTCACACTGCTGGTGGGTTCCATTTTGTCATAGGGGTGCTGGCAGATTACGGGCCTCCCATTGCATTGCTGCTGCCAGGCCCGTAATCTGTCATGGGCCCCTGTACCGCCTCCTCATGCTGCTGCCAGGTCCAGAGTGTCTCAGTGTCTCATGGGTCCCTGTACGGCCTCCCATTGCTGCTGTCTCCATCGCCACACTCTGCCATGTGCCACTTTCAGGTCTCCTCACACTGCTGGTGGGTTCCATTTTGTCATAGGGTGCTGGCAGATTACGGGCCTCCCATTGCTGCTGCCAGGCCCGTAATCTGCCATGGGCCCCTGTACCGCCTCCTCATGCTGCTGCCAGGTCCAGAGTGTGTCATGGGTCCCTGTACCGCCTCTCCTGTGCCAGGTCCTCTCATTGCTCCCTGTCCTCCCATTGCTGCTGTCTCCATCGCCACACTCTGCCATGTGCCACTTTCAGGTCTCCTCACACTGCTGGTGGGTTCCATTTTGTCATAGGGTGCTGGCAGATTACGGGCCTCCCATTGCTGCTGCCAGGCCCGTAATCTGCCATGGGCCCCCCCCGTACCGCCTCCTCATGCTGCTGCCAGGTCCAGAGTGTCTCATGGGTCCCTGTACGGCCTCCCATTGCTGCGTCTCCATCGCCACACTCTGCCATGTGCCACTTTCAGGTCTCCTCACACTGCTGGTGGGTTCCATTTTGTCATAGGGTGCTGGCAGATTACGGGCCTCCCATTGCTGCTGCCAGGCCCGTAATCTGCCATGGGCCCCCGTACCGCCTCCTCATGCTGCTGCCAGGTCCCAGAGTCTCTCATGGGTCCCTGTACGGCCTCCCATTGCTGCTGTCTCCATCGCCACACTCTGCCATGTGCCACTTTCAGGTCTCCTCACACTGCTGGTGGGGTTCCATTTTTGTCATAGGGTGCTGGCAGATTACGGGCCTCCCATTGCTGCTGCCAGGCCCGTAATCTGCCATGGGCCCCCGTACGCCTCCTCATGCTGCTGCCAGGTCCAGAGTGTCTCATGGGTCCCTGTACGGCCTCCCATTGCTGCTGTCTCCATCGCCACACTCTGCCATGTGCCACTTTCAGGTCTCCTCACACTGCTGGTGGGTTCCATTTTGTCATAGGGTGCTGGCAGATTACGGGCCTCCCATTGCTGCTGCCAGGCCCGTAATCTGCCATGGGGCCCCCCTGTACCCTCATGCTCCTCATGCTGCTGCCAGGTCCAGAGTGTGTCATGGGTCCCTGTACTGCCTCCTCATGCTGCTGCCAGGTCCAGAGTGTGTCATGGGTCCCTGTACGGCCTCCCATTGCTGCTGTCTCCATCGCCACACTCTGCCATGTGCCACTTTCAGGTCCTCCTCACTGCTGGTGGTGTTCCATTTTGTCATAGGGTGCTGGCAGATTACGGGCCTCCCATTGCTGCTGCCAGGCCCGTAATCTGCCATGGGCCCCTGTACCGCCTCCTCATGCTGCTGCCAGGTCCAGAGTGTCTCATGGGTCCCTGTACGGCCTCCGTTGCTGCTGTCTCCATCGCCACACTCTGCCATGTGCCACTTTCAGGTCTCCTCACACTGCTGGTGGGTTCCATTTTGTCATAGGGTGCTGGCAGATTACGGGCCTCCCATTGCTGCTGCCAGGCCCGTAATCTGCCATGGGCCCCTGTACCCGCCTCCTCATGCTGCTGCCAGGTCCCAGAGTGTGTCATGGGTCCCTGTACGGCCTCCCATTGCTGCTGTCTCCATCGCCACACTCTGCCATGTGCCACTTTCAGGTCTCCTCACACTGCTGGTGGGTTCCATTTTGTCATAGGGTGCTGGCAGATTACGGGCCTCCCATTGCTGCTGCCAGGCCCGTAATCTGCCATGGGCCCCCGTACCGACTCCTCATGCTGTGACGTTGCAACAAGGTGGAATTCAACCCTACATATGTTTAGACCGCCTTTACGAACAGCGAAAGGCCATCACCGATTTCCTGATGTTACAAGCGGATAAAGGTACTCCCCTGTGTAACTTAGATGTCAGCCATTGGCAGCTCATGCGTGACACCTGCCGCTTGCTCAGGCCCTTTGAGGAGGCCACGCTATTCGTGAGTCGGCAGGACTATGGGATGAACGACGTCATTCCTCTGTTGCACGTCCTGGAACAAATGCTGTTAACAATGGCTGGTCAGGGTGCGGTAGACGTGGCGCACAGATCTCAACGCCACATGACCCCTGTGGGGGCAGGACAGGAAGAAGAGGAGGAGGTAGAGGAGGACATTGGTGCTCAGGAATTATTGAGTGAAATGGGTGGTTTTTCCACTCAGCGGACAGGAGTGGAGGAGCAGGAGCATCTGGTAGAGGAGGAGGAGGAGGAGACAGAGGACCCAGACGCACCGTGGCAGTATGCTGTGGAGATGGAGGCAGGGAGTCCCTCGCATTCCTTGGCACAAATGGCCCATAGCATGCTCGGTTGCTTGCGTAGCGACAGCCGAATAATAACCATCAGACAGAGGGATGACTTTTGGCTGTCCACCTTGTTGGACCCTCGCTACCGTTCAAAAATGGTGGCCTTTTTCACACCTGCTGAGAGGGAGGCCAAAATAACGTACTATAAAAACCACCTATGTAGTCAGTTGGTCTCTGCCTTTCTGCGCCAACGTCCATCCTCAGACACTGTGGGCCCTGTGCGCTCGCGTTCCGCTGCCATGGCAGCAGGGGAGGGGTGGGGTGGTAGGAGCAGTGGCAGCTCCACCAGCAGCGGCTGCCTCAGTCTGCAGTCGATGATGAGTAGCTTTCTTCACCAGCGCAGTGAGGAAACTACTAACCAGCCGCAGCAGCAGCAGCATCAGGTGGACCTGGAGCAGGACCTCAAACAACAGGCTTGGGCCTACTTGGACAGCACCCTGCCAACCGAGGTAGACAATCCCCTTGACTACTGGGCAACGAAACTTGACCTTTGGCCCCAACTAGCTGAATTTGCCCTTGAAAGGCTGTCATGCCCGGCCAGTAGCGTGGCATCGGAGCGCGTGTTTAGTGTGCGGCAGGAGGTATTGTAACTCCGCGGAGGACACGACTGTCCACCCAAAGTGTGGAGAGACTCACGTTTGTGAAAATGAATCAGGCGTGGATTAGTCTGGATTTCAAACCACCAGTTCCTGACACAACTGACTAAATCCGCCATGAATCATGCCCCAAACATGTTATTATTTTTAACATAGGCCTCTGTATGGCCTTCAATTTAAGCTGCTTACGCTTTGCCACTCTGCCATGGGCCCCTGTACCGCCTCCTCTTGCTGCTGCCAGGTCCAGAGTGTCTCATGGGTCCCTGTACGGCCTCCCATTGCTGCTGTCTCCATCGCCACACTCTGCCATGTGCCACTTTCAAGGTCTCCTCACACTGCTGGTGGGTTCCATTTTGTCATAGGGTGCTGGTAGATTACGGGCCTCCCATTGCTGCTGCCAGGCCCGTAATCTGCCATGGGCCCCTGTACCGCCTCCTCATGCTGCTGCCAGGTCCAGAGTGTCTCCTGGGTCCCTGTACGGCCTCCCATTGCTGCTGTCTCCATCGCCACACTCTGCCATGTGCCACTTTCAAGTCTCCTCACACTGCTGGTGGGTTCCATTTTGTCATAGGGTGCTGGTAGATTACGGGCCTCCCATTGCTGCTGCCAGGCCCGTAATCTGCCATGGGCCCCTGTACCGCCTCCTCATGCTGCTGCCAGGTCCAGAGTGTCTCATGGGTCCCTGTACGGCCTCCCATTGCTGCTGTCTCCATCGCCACACTCTGCCATGTGCCACTTTCAGGTCTCCTCACACTGCTGGTGGGTTCCATTTTGTCATAGGGTGCTGGCAGATTACGGGCCTCCCATTGCTGCTGCCAGGCCCGTAATCTGCCATGGGCCCCCGTACCGCCTCCTCATGCTGCTGCCAGGTCCAGAGTGTCTCATGGGTCCCTGTATGGCCTCCCATTGCTGCTGTCTCCATCGCCACACTCTGCCATGTGCCACTTTCAGGTCTCCTCACACTGCTGGTGGGTTCCATTTTGTCATAGGGTGCTGGCAGATTACGGGCCTCCCATTGCTGCTGCCAGGCCCGTAATCTGCCATGGGCCCCCGTACCGACTCCTCATGCTGCTGCCAGGCCCGTAATCTGTCATGGGCCCCTGTACCGCCTCCTCATGCTGCTGCCAGGTCCAGAGTGTCTCATGGGTCCCTGTACGGCCTCCCATTGCTGCTGTCTCCATCGCCACACTCTGCCATGTGCCACTTTCAGGTCTCCTCACACTGCTGGTGGGTTCCATTTTGTCATAGGGTGCTGTATGGCCTCCCATTGCTGCTGCCAGGCCCGTAATCTGCCATGGGCCCCCGTACCGACTCCTCATGCTGCTGCCAGGCCCGTAATCTGTCATGGGCCCCTGTACTGCCTCCTCATGCTGCTGCCAGGTCCAGAGTGTGTCATGGGTCCCTGTACGGCCTCCCATTGCTGCTGTCTCCATCGCCACACTCTGCCATGTGCCACTTTCAGGTCTCCTCACACTGCTGGTGGGTTCCATTTTGTCATAGGGTGCTGGCAGATTACGGGCTTCCCATTGCTGCTGCCAGGCCCGTAATCTGCCATGGGCCCTCGTACCGCTCCTCCTCATGCTGCTGCCAGGTCCAGAGTGTCTCATGGGTCCCTGTACGGCCTCCCATTGCTGCTGTCTCCATCGCCACACTCTGCCATGTGCCACTTTCAGGTCTCCTCACACTGCTGGTGGGTTCCATTTTGTCATAGGGTGCTGGCAGATTACGGGCCTCCCATTGCTGCTGCCAGGCCGGTAATCTGCCATGGGCCCCCGTACCACCTCCTCATGCTGCTGCCAGGTCCAGAGTGTGCCATGGGTCCCTGTACGGCCTCCCATTCCTGCTGTCTCCATCGCCACACTCTGCCATGTGCCACTTTCAGGTCTCCTCACACTGCTGGTGGGTTCCATTTTGTCATAGGGTGCTGTATGGCCTCCCATTGCTGCTGCCTCCACCGCCACACTGTGGCTCCACACTCTGGTTTTGGCCCCGTGACTGCCCAAATGAGTGAAGTGTGCGGTGATTCTAAGATCGACGGCACTCATCTGCATGTCATACTGACTGACAGTATTATTTCTCTTCCCCAGCAGACTCCAAGGGCATTTAAATTAAAGGTACAGTGTTCTGCACTAATATAAAGGCTCTCTGAAGCCTAGAAACACCCTTTTTATAAGTTAAATTCGCTGCGAATATATTCGACTCGAATTGAATTTATTCCGCGAATTCGCCGAATCAGCCGAATCGAATATTTGAATACTTCGCTCATCTCTACATATAACCAAGTCGCAGCAAGAGAATATTTAATTAGGTAACATTAAGGATGCCATGAGCTACATTCAGATCACAGCACTTGAGATGCTTACAGTGTTCTCAGATTTTTTATAGTTCCTTATTTAAGTTCCTTATATACCCCTTTGTTCATTGAGCTTCCTATCAGAGTGTAACTGCCTGCCCATATCAGATGTACGGGCAGACAGCTATACAGACAGTCTGAAGAACCGTGGCATTACATCTACGATCTACTAATCGTGGATGCAATGGTTTACAGGCTCCTAAAATAAATAAATGCATATTTTTTTACCTGTAAAAAAAATGTGCATTTATTATTTTTTGTAAAGGTGAACTTATACTTTAACTACTTTGAATGATAATTCACTATATATGAACTGATCACCAAAGTGCCATACAATAGGTGATGTATATGTGTAATAACCATACAAATAAAATTTTTAAGATGTTGATTGTGACTATTATGTATCGTACCCAAAGTGATGGGTTTTTATCATGTTGTAAAATAAGTATATATTTTAAAGTGATATTAAAGCTTCCATTTTTTTGAAAATACCAAACATGTCATACTCACCTGCTCTGTGCAATGATTTTGCACAGCGCAGCCCAGATCTTCTTCTTCTCTGGTCCCCTGCCAGCACTCCTGGCTCCTCCCCCTTGAACAGTGCCCCCAATAGCAAGCCACTTGCTATGAGGGCACTGGTGCATGCTCACTCTTGAACCCTACTCTATGCATCCATAAGACACATAGAGCTACGGCCCGGCCCCCCCCCCCACCACTCTCTCCTC